ACAATTTAAACAGGTTCAACAAGATAATGCAAGAAGAATAAATCCTATCATCCCCTCTTCAGCCTTGATTCCGCGATCACACAAATCTTTTACCTCGATTCTAGGTTGAAAAGAGGGGAAAACGAATTGGGGAAGTTGATCTGACGAAGAACGACGAAGGAGCACCACACAGCAGCCACCACACGCACCTAGAGCTCCGATTCGGCGAAGAACAACCTCCAAACATACACAAAGCCACGAAATCGCCTCGGAATCTCTCCTCTCGAAAACTCCCTTCACTAAACGACAAAAAAGAGGAAGAAGACGGCGGCTGCATGTTTTAACTCTGAGAATCAGGGTTTCCAACCCAAACCAGGCCCAAACCGGATTTCAATTAACTTAAATTGAACCGAAAATTGCAAACCAGAGCTGGTGTCGACCGACACAAACCTGTGGTGTCGGTCGACACTCGACCAAAACTGCACCTTTTTGGTTTACGGATGTTACACAACTCAAATTAGTTTTTCTTGATTTATTTCATATATTATATTATATATATATATATATAGAATAAACGAATGGATCTTACTTCATAAAATTTATTTGATATAATAGCAGCAATTGCCACAACCAAAGGTACAGATATGACTCATGTAAGAAGGGTCTTTAAAATATAATAATCCATTGTATTTGTGTATGTTGGGGTAACTGAATTTTGAATAAACTCTATTTTGAGATTTTTATTAGAATTAGTGAACGATGGTGAAAGACTAAGGTTATTAAGAAAATTGAGATTAACATCCTATTTTTATTAATGTCGTATCTCACACACGAAATCTCACAGTAGAATGGTCTTTGTATTTTTCCTCCCTTGTTATTTTTTATTTTTTAATTTATAATCTTGTGGGATGCTTGTTTTTAGAAGTGTGGCTTATATAGTTATAATTGACACAAAACTCTAAAGCCTCTAAATGTTCATATAAAAAAAAAATAACTCTAAAGCCTGCTTTTGTAAGACTTGTGCAACAAATAACTCTAAAAAATATGTTTTTGATATTCGTGTATTCTCCTCGAATCAAAGTCAGAATTATCAGAGTAGTGCCACTCAAAATAATTTTTAGATATATGTAACATTCTCCGACTTTAACGACTGAGTCCAAATTCGATGAGCAAGTCATTCACCTACAAACCAAATTGAGCAATAACTTTCCGAACGAAATTCATAACCCAAGAGCTTACCATATTCTTGCAATATGATATTGTATTGTGGTGACTAATCCAAGCTTGATGCAAGGTTGCATGATCCATTAACAAAACTTAATTTGTTTTCTCAATTCTATCAACTGAAAAATATGTAGCTTAGATGAGTGGATCTGAGAACAAAGTAGTGAAGAAATATTTTAGTTGTGATGTACATGTTTACTTTAACAATGTCAAATGTGTGTAGTCTAGCACTCCATCATATTTCATCCGTCTTAAAATTTAAATTCTATAAAATAAAATGATAAAGAAAAAACCTCAATACTAAAATTATCTGGTTCTATAAAAAACCTAGAAGTATATGCAAAACAACGTAAATTAAAATATATTTAAAGTGATCAACTCTTGTATCCATGGAGGATAATGCCAGCTCTGGAGTTATTAAACCTATATTGAAACATAGTTTCATCTTTAAAACTCTAGTGTAGTACTTAACGAATTTAATATAAACAAATAAATTTATTTGGTATTTTACATTAAGTTCATAAATGTAATGGATTTTTACAGTTTCTTGTTGTGTTGTTGCATGGAAACGTAAACGGAAACGCAGATATGAAACTTTTCCCGAAAGGAGAAACGTTTATTTTGAAAAATATAAAATTACCATTTTGGATAATTTTTCATTTATAAATTTTTGTGTATACAATAAAAAACAAAGACATGTTGGACATATATATTTATTCATATATATATTTTAATAATATAAATTCATTAGAATTTATGTTAATGGTTATGGCAAATCTAATAGTTTTCACATATTTATATCCAACACATTCATATGTTAAATTCAGTTCATTACAAATGTCAATAGCTGTAATTAAAAAAACGTTAAATTTATATGGCAAATATAATATAGTTTTTTATTTATTTATATTCATATTATTTGTTACCACCACTTATACTTATTACAGAACAATGACATTAAAAATAAAGACAAAGCTTCGGTTTTCTATCCTTTCTCATACAAATGATATGCACATTCGTGACAAAATCCAACAGGATCGTTAGAGGCTGACGGTTTAAAATGTTCGTCTGGTGGAAGAATACCATTTCTCTGAATATTAATTGGAGGACTCGCTTCTAGAATAGAATTTGTTGCTTTCTCAACAAAATTAAATTTTGCCATAATATTAGATGCACCTATAAAATTTTCAAAAACGGAAAATGGTTCGCTAAATTAATATTTCCATAGAGAATAAAAAAACTTTCAACATTTTATCATATTAAAAGAAAGAAAAAACTCACATGACAAAAGAAGAACTGAAAAGGTTAAACATAAAATACTTGTTTTCATTTCCCTTTAAAAGGTTTAATAGTAATTAAGAAAAATAATTGTAATGATATTATTCTGACTAAATGTTCAAGCTTTTTGTTGTGAAGTTTATTAGAGTTTAATAATGTCATATTTATATGTGTTTCTACTTACGTTATACAATAAATAATGACCTAGTCAATGTTTTTATATGTTATAAAATTATTCTGTTTTAAGTTACATTTTTTGTTTTAAACTATATATAGATTTGTCATTACCGTTTTCAGTAATTCACTTGTTATTGTAGATAAAATGTACAACTCAAATTAGTTTTTCTTGATCTATTTATATTCATATATATATATATTATAATAAACGAATGGATCTTACTTCATAAAATTTATTTGATATAATAGCAGCAATTGCCACAACCAAAGGTAAAGATATGACTCATGTAAGAGAATCTTTAAAATATAATAATCCATTGTATTTGTGTATGCTGGGGTAACTGAATTTTGAAAAAACTATTTTGAGATTTTTTTTAGAATTAGTGAACAATGGTGAAAGACTAAGGTTATGGGGGTTATTAAGAAAATTGAGATTAACATCCTATTTTTATTAATGTCGTATCTCACACACGAAATCTCACAGTAGAATGGTCTTTGTATTTGAAACAACCAACATTTTTTTTATATAATTAAATAAAAACAATTCAGCGGAAGTCTTTAAATAAATAAATAAATAATAAATCAGGTTCAACAAATAAATTCAAATAAATAATTAAAGGAAATACTAGCAACCTAAACACCAGGTACTAGCAAGTCAAATAAAGCAAAACAATAAAACATTAAACATCCTATCATCCCCCTCTTCAGCCTTGATTCCGCGATCACACAAATCTTTTACCTGCAACACATTGGAATGGAGTTGCGTAAGTATTTAATAAATACTTAGTGAGGCAATCACTCTGCCTACGAGCCATTTACGCAATTACTAGATATTTAATAATATTTATAAACTCCAATAATTATTAAATACCAATTTTCCAATTATTAAATAATTTTAACAATTAAAACTTCATTTCTCAATTATTAAATAATTCTCATAATTAAATAATAATTTTCCATATTTTAAAATAATTAATATAATTATTTTAACCATTTAATCAATTAAATATCAATTAATTAATTAAATACCAATTAAACCAACAATTCGGATAAACCACCAATTGATTTAAACCAGTAAATTTCAATTAAACCAATTAAATCAATTTTAACCAGAAAACCGGTTTGTGTCGACCACACCAGCTTGTGTCGACCGACACAGCACTTGGTGTCGACCGACACCGATTCTGGAAAAACCCAGATCGGGCTATGAACAGTACCGAAACTCGCAATTCACAGGAAATCAATCAAACAACCATAAATACTGAATCAAACATCAATATCATCACAAAATCACCACAAAACATATACATATCCTGAATCTAGCAATCACGGACCACAGTCATGCACTCACCTCGATTTTAGGTTGAAAAGAGGGGAAATCGGATTGAAGACAGAGAAAGGGGGATGAAACAAGGAAGAACAGCAACAAGGAGCCTCAGATCGACGAAGAACTCGGATTTCAGCTCGAAATCGCTCCTTCTCCAGTCCGCAAAACGACAAAAGAGAGAAGAGGAAGCGGCTGCAGCTTTTATTCGAGTTCTAGGGTTTCCGCCCAAACCGGCCTAAACCGAACTTAAATTGAACCAGAAATTGATTTTAACCATTGGTGTCGACCGACACCACCCTGGTGTCGACCGACACTAAAGAAAAATCCAATTCTTTGGTCTACGGATGTTACAATTCTCCCCCACTAAACTGGATTCGTCCTCGAATCCCAACAAACGTCACAAAGACCACAAAAACCCGACCTCGCAAGGCCGCAACACTGGAGATCCTCACCTGATCCCCGAGACATATGTCAAATCCTATGTCATAAGCACGTTCCAAGAAATTTTCACTCCTAACTCATCATCCAAAACACACAAACCACTTGTACTGAGGCCCACTTGCACCCAGACAAGTCCACACCGGTCCGCACTGAGGCCCACTTGCACCCAGACGAACCCGAAACGTCCATACTGAGGCCCACTTGCACCCAGATGAACTAAACTGCTTATACTGAGGCCTACTTGCACCCAGATAAGCTACACTCAACTGAGGCCTACTTGCACCCAGAGAGTCTGCCAGAGAACGAAGTCTCCAAAAACATGATGAGTTATTCAGGATCGCAATCCTTAGAGTAAAAATTCCGGAAAATGTCTATAACCATAAGATTAGACCGTCTCACAACCAAAAACTGGTCAAACATGTGTAACATCCGAATACCATTTCACAACACAAGGCAAAATGAGGAAAAACTGCATCTCATTAAAACTCCAAAATGTATATCGTTACAACGAAAACGAAAATACAATAACACCAAAGCCAAAAATAACAACTGAGGCTACAAAGATGAAATAAGCTCACTCCTCGACCTGCTTGTCGAACCACTTCCTGAACTTCAACTTCATCTTTGCCTCTGGCTCCCAAGTCTCCTCTGTAGAACCACTGCAATCCCACAAAATCCTCAGTAAGGGAATCCTCTTGTTCCTCAGAACCTTTTCCCTCCTCTCTAAAATCCTCACAGGCACTGCCGGCACTGTCAAATCTGGCTGAAGATCCTCTGGAATCCTAGCCACTAACTCCTCTGTAGGGTGAAGACACTTCCTCAGCATCGACACATGAAAAACCTTGTGAAAGGCTTTCATAATCTCAGGCAACTCCAGCCTGTAAGCCAATGGCCCAACTCGCTCCACTACTGGAAACGGACCCATAAATCGCGGACTCAGCTTGTTCTCTGCTATGGATCTGTTAGGACCCCTCAACATAGCCATCTTGAGATAAACTCTATCTCCCACCTGAAACTCAAGCTCTCGTCTGCGTCTATCTGCATAACTCTTCTGCCTATCCTGAGCCTCCTTCATGTTCAGCCTCACAACACGACCTTCTCTGTCGTCTCCTGAACATAAGTAGCTCCATACATGCTGCGCTCCCCCACTTGGGTCCAGCATAGGGGTGTCCTACATGGCCTCCCATACAAAGCCTCAAATGGAGCCATGCCAATACTCGCCTGAAAGCTGTTGTTGTATGCAAACTCAACTAAGCTCAGGTGATCTGCCCAATGGCCACCCCAATCCAACACACACATCCTCAGCAAATCCTCCAAAGTCTGAATAGTCCTCTCTGACTGACCATCTGTCTGCGGATGATAAGCTGTACTCAGATGCACCTTAGTGCCCATCTCTGCCTGAAAAGCTCTCCAAAACTCTGAAGTGAATCTGGGATCACGGTCTGACACAATACTAGCTGGCACTCCATGCAGCCTCACAATCTCTCGCACAAACTTCCTAGCCAAACAGCAGCTCCATCTGTCTTCTTGATGGCCAAGAAATGTGCGGACTTAGTCAACCGATCCACAATCACCCAATAGCATCGAAAGTCCTCGAAACAGGTAGTCCAACCACGAAATCCATCGTAATCCTGTCCCACTTCCACTCTGGAATGGGTAAACTCTGCAAAAGACCACCCGGAACCTGATGCTCTGCCTTCACCAAGGCACAAGTGTTGCACTTAGTCTGCATCCCGACCCAATGATAGTACCTCTTGAGGTTGATGTACTTGCATTTTACATAGTTTTAGCACATCTTTTATGCATCTTTTGCATAGTTTTAGCTTCCATTTGCATCATATCTTGTTCCTTTTCTCTTCTTATGCATTCATGTTAGTTTTAGGTTGCATTTGCATACATATGCATGTTTGGTCCTTTGAAATAGGTCTTTTGGAGCATTCTGGAGCATATGGGACATGAGGAGCATGGAGGGACTTGGCACATGGAAGCAGCTCAACTGGATACGCAAAGGAAGAAGGGAGAAGCCATCTTGAAGACCAGCTCGACCGTCTACTCGACCAACCGGTCGAGTTCCTCAACTCGACCGGCCAAGCTTCAACTCGATCGAGCTGAGAAGTCAACAGTCAAACCCGAAAAATGTTGCTTCCCCCTTGACTTTCCTTTGACCCTAAACCTAATCCTCTTGTATTTAAAGGCTCTAAGCCACGAAAAAACCACCAAGCTTTAGATTATTTTGTTTTAGTTTCTTTTAATTTATTGTCTTTTACTTTTTAGAGATCTAATCCCATCTTTGTGTTCTTGAAGCTCTTGCTTCTTGAATCCTAGATCCTGGATAATCTCTTTGTATTTGCACTTGCTTATTTCAATAAAAGTTGTTTAATTTCATCTCCTCTTTCTTATGATGTCTCTTTTATTGCATTTGCTTGTGTTTACATTCATGTGTAGTGAGTAGTTACCCATTAGGGTTTGAGATGGGATAGATTAGAGGTTTCATATGCTTAATCCTTCTAGCTTATGGTCTTAATCTAGATTCTCTCTCTTTTGGATAGATCTTAAGGCTACATGACCACTACCCCTGGCTTGTAAGTCCTTAGGCGACTCCCCACACGAAAGTGATGGCATTCGCTGGAAAAGATCCACTAAGAGCTCCAATATCTCTTGCTCTAGAATAGAGGTCTAAGGGGTTGGATGGATTAGTTTGGGCAATGATCCTATAGCCTCCAAGGTTTGATTCTCACTGGCTAACCCCCTGTTTCTGAGATCATTCCTTGGTTGATAGCCTCCACCTTGGGAAAGGGTTGGCTAGGCATTGAGAAGCCCAATATCAAGAGAAGCCTTGATACAAGGAGTTTTAAGAGCTAGATTGATTAAGTGTAGATTCCTTTGATTGCAAAACCCTGTCTTGAACCCTAATTCTCTCTTTATCTTGTTAAAGTCGTCACCTTTAGCTTTGTTTGTCTCAACTCGTCCCTAAACTCGATCGAGCTGGTACTTTGCTCTGACTCGACTCGAGTCTTGGTCGAGCTGACACTTCACTGCTTTGTTTACTTTTATTGCACTGCTTTTCATTTTATTTAGGTTGTTAGTGTTACTTCAAATCTTTAACTGCTTGCTTGACTTTCTGGTTGTTTCATATTCTCATAGAGTGACAAGTTTCCCATTTTGGATTGATAACCTCTTATACTACATGACTATGATGGTTAAGAGGAATTGATTGATTGTGATTGCACCATTTCATCTTTATTCACCCCTGTTTGCATTCCACCTCATATCTTATCATCCTTCATTCATATCATATCACATCCACATAAAATCCTATCATCAGAGGTCATGCTCGAATGAGCCTATCTCAGAATCTGCTGCCTTAACTCCACATCCTTAGGCACACAAACTCGCCCACGAACCAAAATAGTCCCATTCGCAGAGACCTCATACTCAGAACCAGTCACTCTCGTCGCATCCAGCAAACTCTGATCACTCTGCTGAGCAACTCTGATCCTGCTAAGTAGATCCGCCTGATCCACTGCCTCTAAACCCAAAGGCTCCTGCGAAATGGCACACAAACGCAAGGTACTGATCTCGCCAACCAGAGACTCCACATCTCGCTCAACAGCGGAATCATACCTCCGTCTACTCAACGCGTCCGCCACTAGGTTAGCCTTGCCCGGATGGTAGTTAAATCCACCTGATAGTCCGCCAAGAACTCAACCCAGCGCGTCTGTCTCGCGTTCATCATCGGCTGAGTGAAGATATGCTGAAGACTCTTGTGATCCGTAAGACCTGCACTGTCTCACCAGCAAGTAAGACCTCCAAATCTTCAGTGCAAAGATCACTGCTCCCAACTCAAGATCATGTGTAGGACGGTTACGCTCACTGCCCTGCCACTGTCTCGAAGCATATGCAATAACTCTGCCCTCCTGCATCAGCACACAACCAAGACCAATGCCTGAAGCATCTGTATACACCATGATAAGGCTTCCCTGGCTCGGGTAACGCCAACACTGGTGTAGTAGTCAACATCTCCTTGAGCTCCAAAGCTCTCCTCACACTCAGCTGACCAAACAAACGGGACATCCTTCCCAGTCAACTTGTCATAGGCTGCGCCATGGTAGCAAACCCCTTGACGAACCTCCTGTAGTATCCTGCCAAACCCAGAAAACTTCTGATCTCTGTGGCACTACTAGGTCTAGGCCAATCTCTGATAGCCTCAATCTTAGCCGGATCCACAGAAACTCCCTCTGCAGAAACAATGTGGCCAAGAAATCCATCTCTCGCTGCCAGAAACTGCACTTGCTCAACTTAGCAAAAAGCTTCTGCTCCCGAAGCTTCTCCAGAACCAACCTCAAGTGAGTCGCATGCTCCTCCTGACTCCTCGAGTACACCAAAATGTCATCAATAAATATAATGACGAACACGTCCAAATACTCCCTGAACACGTCGTTCATCAATCTCATGAAGGCTGCCGGCGCGTTAGTCAAACCAAAAGGCATACCACAAACTCAAAATGCCCATAACGCGTCCTGAAAGCAGTCTTCCTGACATCTGCCTCATCTATCGGGATCTGATGATACCCCGACGCCAAGTCAATCTTGGAGAACCAAGTAGCACCCCTCAACTGATCCAACAACTCATCAATCCTCGGGAGTGGGTACTGTTCTTCACAGTGACTCGGTTAAGACCTTTGTAATAGATACCTTGTGCGGGTACAATATTTTTGAATAAATCAATTATTAAAGATTTAAATAGCACAAATAATATAATTTATGATTGTTGACTCTTAAACTTATTTGCGTGTGTAACATCCGTAACCCATTTTGTTGGTGTTTTAAAAGTTGCATCGAGTGACGTAAGAGTTGCGTCAGTCGACGCAAGAATTTCAAAATCAGACCCGGTTTGATTTAAGTCAATTGGGTCCGGTTTGGCCCGGTTAAGGTCTGGAAACCCTGATTTTCGTTTTAAAAGAGAAGCAGCCGTCAGTTCTTCACAATTTTCGAGGCTGAGTTTTCCAGAGGCGGAATGAGGCGATTTTGGAGTGATCTTCGAGTTCTGGTGTTGGATTGGAGTTCTGTTCCTGGTTGTGCATCGTTCTCCCTCTTTTCCCCTCTTTTCAATCCGATTTGAGGTGAGTGCATGACTGTAGGTCCGCAAATCACTAGATTTGGATTGATTGAATGTTGTTTTTGAGGCGTTCTTATGATATGAGGTTTATGTGATGATGTTTGGGTGATTTATGTGTTAATTCTGTGTTTCTGCGTGATTTGTTGATATTTTTGTCGACCTGACGGACGTGCGTCGGGCGACGCAGCCGGTTTAGTCTGTTTCAATTCAAAATTGATTTCTGGTTTAATTTAAGTAACTAGGTTTGAAGCCTCGCGCAAGCGCGGGATTATTTGGGATAGTTTTTGTGTTTAATTTGATTTTATGATTTATACTCGTTGATTTGAATTATGATGGTTTTGTGTTGACTTTCATCTTTTTGTTATGTTTTGAGTTAACCCAACCAATAACATTAAAAATTATGAACAATTTGTTTTTTGTTTACTTCTATTAGACTTTTATAAAATATAAACAATTTGTTTACTTCTATTAAAAAATATAACACAAATGCATATACATATAAACATGTATATGCATTTGACTCAACGTTAAAACTTTTAAACATAATGAAAATTGCATTTTCACCCGAAATAAGATAAAAAAATAATATGTATACCTTTTTACATATCTACTTTGTTTTGTTAGAATGTGAGCCTCGTGACCAATGAGTATTTTTTATTATATTGGTTTTGTAAATATAAATTATATTTCTGAAACAAACATATCACAATCCTTAAAATTTTCATGTTTTTCACTGCAATTAGATTTACATATAAAAATTCCACTTCTATTTGGTTCAAAAAACAAACTCTAACTTTAATTTCTCACTAACTCTCTATTATAATTAATTAATATTTAACTCTTTAACTTGTAAACACATTATAACATTTTTTAAATCGGATAAATCCTTTGAATAAAAAGGTAAATACATATTATTTCAAGTTAAATATTTCTTTACTCCATCTCCATTTTATATTCCAACTTTTTGATAATTTTTAACATCAAGCTATCACATAATTTATATTAATTAATTTATTTATTTGTATTTTTGTCTTAGTTTTATTTATATTTAAAATATGAATAAATGTAAAGAAATATAAATAGTCATATATCTAATAAATATTTTAAATACAATTTAATGTTTTTGTGCTGATGTGGACAATCTAGATGGAGAGAGCAACTCTCCTATGTATATATAAGATTTCTGGTTTAAATCTGGTTAATTGGTTTAAATTCGGATTTAATTAATTAAAGGGTATTTAATTAATTAAGTGGCTTGAAATAATTATTTAAATTATTTTAAAATACAGAAAATTATTATTTAATTATGAGAATTATTTAATAATTGAGAAATGAAGTTTTAACCACTGAGAATTATTTAATAATTGAGAAATGAAGTTTTAATTATTAAGAATTATTTAATAATTAGAAAATGGTATTTAATAATTATTGGAGTTTATAAATATTATTAAATATCTAGTAAATTGCGTAAATGGCATGTAGGCAGCGTGATTACCTCACTAAGTATTTATTAAATACTTATGCAACTCCATTCAAATGTGTTGCAGGTAAACAATTTGTGTGATCGCGGAATCAAAGCTGAAGAGGGGGATGATAGGATGTTTATTGCTTTCATTTATTTTGCATTTTTTTTTGCTAGACTTGTTTAATTATTATTTGCTTCCGCTGAACTGATTTATTATTGTACTTGATATTTATTTATTTAATCTATTTTAAAGACTTTCGCTAGAATTGTTTAGTATTTAAATATATAAAAAGTGTTGGTTGTTTCTGTATGAAATTCATATATATAAAATCTTATTTTTACCCATATTTATATAGTTTTAGTTTACAAAAAAGTAAGAATTTCTTTCATTTTATTATTGTGGTATATATGTAAACAGTATTCTCAATTTTTCTGTCAATAACAAATATTTATAGATTGGCTTGGAGATATAAATCGGTGAAATAGATTTGTAATATATATATAACTTCTTAATTTGTAAAAAAAACAAATTACTCCATGGACATGAACTATTTTAAAAACTAAATTTTTTTTTATTTTATTATCCAAAAACAAAAGCATACATAATTCAAAACATTACAATAAAGTCTAAAAAAAATGAAACAAAATAAATTATCTAACTTAATATGATAGAAACTTGAGTATTGATATTAAAATAAATACAGAAGAAGAGTTATTATATAGTACAATGTACATTAGTCAATCTCATAATTTACTTTAATTTTAAATATTTTATGTTTGTCCACTTAGTTTAATGCATCTTTAAATATTTTTATTTATCTCATCTTTATCTTTGTTTCTCTTTACCTTCCATTTTTTCTTCTTTGATTTATTTTTCCTACACTTTGAGTTTACTTCTTCTTCTTCAAGTTTTCCATCTTTTTTTTCATTGTATTCTTTTTCTTACTCCCATTTTTATTCACTCTTGTCTACATCTCTTCTTTCACTTTTCAATTTAGTTTATAGTTTAGATATTTAAGAATTCAATAAATAGTTTTATCTATATATAATTATTATCTTTTAAAAATCTATTGATGTTGTTATATTCTGATTTATGATTTGTTTTAATTGATTTAATTTTTTCTATTTGTGAATGTATTTTAGATTAGTATATATAAATTTATAATCAATGATTTTTAGTTTTGATAAACTTTCATAATAATTCAAAATTTTAAAAATGCACCAAAAAATAAATCATACACCCACAAATATAAACCCTACACCCTAAACCCAAACCATATTATAACCCCACCCCCACCCCCACCCAGGTCCTCCCCTCCCTCCCCTATACCATACACCGGAACCCACATTACAAATTAATTCTGGACATATTTTTATTTTTAAAATAAGTTATTTTTTCTCTTTATAATTGGTAATGTTTGTATATTCAAGTTTTTTAAAATGCATTAAAAACAAAACCCTACACCCTAAATCCTAACCTCACATTATAAACCCCTAGCCCCAAAACAGTACACCATAAGTCCTCATTACACACTTGTTCTCGATTTGCTTTTATTGTTTTAGTTTCTGTTTTTTTTTTTTAAGTTGTTATTGTTTTTGTTTTTAATCTGCAATGTTTGTGTATTCAAATTTAAAAAATTTCACGAAAAACTAAACCCTACATCCATCAATATAAACTCACACCCTAAACCTTAACCCAAATTGTAACCCCCTCTGCCTAAACCGTATACCCTAGCCTCACATTACAAACTTGTTGTGGATTTACTTGTTTTAGTTTTTTAATTTTTTTTTTTTTTAAATGATGATAGTATTAGAATGATAAGACAAAAAAATGAATCATATATATCAACTAGGAGGTGACCCGCGCTTCGCGCGGAAACTTATATTATTGTGTTAATTTTATTGTTTTTCCGCAAATTTAGTTTATTTCTATTGTTTATTATTGTTTGAAAAATATTACATATATTAATTAAAAATAATTAGGATTAGGCAAAATTAACGTACTGTTTTGTCCCATTGTATCCCATTTCGTTCAATTTCATCATGTCGATTCTTTCTCGTCTCATCCGTCCTGTCTGCCCTGTCCCGTCCTGTAACACCCCCGAACCGACCTAGGCACAGACGTTCCGAGAAGCGCCACAAAATGACGAAGTTCGCCGAATAGGCCATCCCAGACTAAGAACAAATCAGAGCCCAGGTCAGCCCGTCCACGAACTCGACCCTCTTGACCAAAGCCTAAGGCTTGCCAACCCGTACTTCGGTCAGGAGTTGTGTTAGCCCGGACCAAGCTAATATCATTGGAACATAAGGTCTTTACATAAAAACTTTCCTTTTATTAAATATCAGAGCGCATTACAAAATCTGACTTATTTAAAAACATGCGGATCGATCCTTAGTTCCAAAACCAAGCAACAAACCAATATTTTACAAAAACATACCACAAAACTATTCTGGTCGCCTACTGCCTGCAGCGGTCCGCTCTACTTCACACCTCTACGGTTACCTGAAAAACAATGAACAAAAAGAATGAGTAATCTAATATTACTTAGTGAGTCTAGGACCTCTATACAAGGGGGATTCCCTAAACTCCAGAACGCCGCGGACTTGTAATCCCGCCTCCATCTGCATTGAGGTTAGCACAACACAACATATGCAATCACATGCAATATTGATGCCATAGTGATCGCGGGATCAGGCTTCGATATTGCAAGTCTAATATAGCTAGAAACAAGTAGAGGGTTTTTGATTGTGTACAAGGTAAATCAAACAACAGATTAAACGGTTTATGAAAATCAATAAGGGAAACGCTAGGCAATGAGAAACTCGCAGAGATTCAAGGTTAACAAGATATTAGAAGGATTCGCTAGGGTTTGCGCTATCTAGAACTCAGGTCACGATTGTATGATCTTTCCACTGTCGAGGCTCCGACCCCTTTGTTAATCTACCTAGTCGCTAAACTTTTGGTATGTCCCTAGGTGATTAAATCAAGCAATAGTTCGTTCAAGACCCAATTGTTCACAACCCCGCATAGATCAACTTTCGCAGTCTATGAAGTTTTGCTCACCAAATACTTAGTTCAGGTTATATAGCAAGCTTTTGGAGAGTATATGAAACCTAAGATCTGATGCTAGTTGATCAGAAAAGCAAGCAGCAATGAATTCAAGCAGAGGAGAAGATGCGTAATATAAACCCTAGACTTCTAACAACCTATCAAACCATGAACTCTTTGATAGATCTCACAACCTAACTAGTGAATTACTCAGACATGATCAAAGCAAAACACAAAGAGATGAAGAAAACATGATTGCAATAAAACAAAGTAGGAAATCGAAATACAAGGCGGCTCTCTTTCACAAGAGGCTAAAAAGCATATATATAGTGCTAGGTCTTTTAGAGGCGGCTTAGGGTTAAGCCGGGCTTGAAAATATGAAATGGGCTTCAAAACGGGCTTCGGGTCGACCGCGGCGTTGGGACGGTCGGTCGGGACGATCGGCCGGACAGTCGGGTCGTGGCCGAGTCGGAACGGTCGTGGCCGGATGATTCACGGTCGGCCGGCGTGGTCGGACGGATGAGATTTGGCCGATGAAATCTCGGCCGGACGCGAGGCGTTATTTCCCGGTCGTGCGGCGTGTCGTGCGCGGCGTGGCGTGGCGGTTGTGGCGTGGCCGACCGCGGGCAATAGTTTCCCGGGTCGTGATGCGTGATCGGCCGATGGTTTTGGACTTTGGCCGAGACTTCAGACGGACGGACGAATTTGGCCGAGCGCGGAACATCGTTCCTCGGCCAGCCGGACTGCGCGGTTGGGCGCTGATTCTCGATAGAGCCGTCTGGACAGTCTCCACTCTTTTGGTTATAACTCCTTTTCTACTCATCCAAATTAGGCCGTTCCAGTTGCGTTGGAAAGTTAACTCAATCAGAGCACGCAGGGAACTGGTCTTGATGAAATCCATTGAGTAGATCTTTTTCTGGGCCCTCTTAAAGTTGGTGCTTGTGCATGGAGCGGCTTGAAGTGCAAATCCTATGGTTTTGCTCCAAAATGCATCATTTCACCTGTTTAGACTCTAGACACTATAAACACAGTAAAACTACCTTTTTAGATAGAAAACCTGCCAAAAACCATTAGAAAACAATGCTAAAACAGTATAAAAAGTGGGTAAATTAGAGGTATATCAACTCCCCCAGACTTAGATCTTTGCTTGTCCTCAAGCAAAAAGAATCTAAATCCGTGAAAGAGGTTTGAAAACGTGGAAGCTCCCTTGCTCTTTTGAATATCCTGTGAAAGGTTCCTTTCCTGTATTCCACTATGAACATAGACAACATAAGGTTAGCTTCACATACACCCTGCAAGTTTAGCGAACAATACCAACCCAACTAGTCTCATCCAGCAATCCAAACTCTCTATTGCTAACCTCTTGCATAAATTTAAAGCGTGAATTCTTTATCAAGGGGACATCGATCAATTGAACTTGTTCTTACCCACTTGATCCTCTCCAAGATTGCCTCTTTAAGTGCAATGAGTTCTTTTCCTCTCTCTTTCTCACATCAGAACTTTGAAAGGTCAATTTATCCCTACTTTTCTAGGGTATCATTTTATTTTTTCTATTGACCCTTCTTTCAACCACAGGATAAGTCTTTAGCTTGTTCCTTGTTTGA